AAGCTTGGATAATGCCATCATCACAGCAAATTCCTGGAGATCTGGGGGTGGGTGTGTCTCGGGGTTTACCTCAAGAGGCACTGGTTTGACATAGTTCTCATCGTTGCACAAATCCCTAAAATAATCATTAAGACCAGCAAGAAATTCATTTTCTAAATATGGCTGAGATTTCAGTTTCCTTAGGGTGATTTCATCCACTCTCCTCCACCAGTGCAAACTCCCCTGTGCTCCACTCCTGCCCCAGTTTTTTCGATTTTCTCCAATTAATTTGTAGACCTTCGATGACAAGTCCCCCACTTTGTGAACGTGGCCATTATCAGTAGCTCTTGTCTTTTTCCTTAACAGATATTTAAATGGTGGAGTGATCCAAGGGGGGTCACGGGAAGACATCACAACTCTCGTCACAGGGAAACACTTATCCATAAGATAGTGCAGTTCCTTATTTAAGAAACGGTCCAGATAAGAACGATAGCAATTTGAATAGCAGTTTGAATAACAAAGAAATCCTATGTGGGGAACATGTAAAATTGTAAACTTTTCCTGGCTATTGTTTTCAACTCTTGTGATTGGTCAAAATCTTTTAACACAAAAAAACACCCTTTCAAATGGATTGTAAATGCATTTTATTGCGTAAACGGCCTTCATGTAGGTTTATGCATTCTCTGTGTAAAAATGAGAACATTCCTATGTGGGGAAAGCACCGTTGTCGCATAACAAAAGAAATTGCTATCCACCTTACCCGGATCATTACTAAATATGTTAGTTGCTATTTCAATATCAGGAGCATTGATCATGGGTGTCTCATCAAAATCTTGTAACTCTAAAGTAAATTTTATCTTGAGATGTTCTCTAAAATCCCTAAAACAGCATTTAGTTCGGATTGGTTTAATTTTGTTCCCCGGAGAAGTTATCACGCTCCAGTGGTCAGTCTTTATCAGCGCTTGAAAGCGTAAGGGGTCGTTGAACAGCTCAGGGTGGTTTGTGAGGCAGTTATCAAAGATGGAAGTCCCTCTAGTGGCGAAATTCACCATGGGCACTAGGCCATATGAAGTGGAAAGACGGTCCAGATCCAATCGGTTTAGATCACCACTTCAGAGTACTACCCCATTTGGATGTATGTCTAAGAATGTATCACAACGATCGATGACGGAATCAGTAAGATCGCCTTCATCATAACTTGGAGGATGGTACAATCCAGTGATCAGCATATGATGTCCTGACGGAAGTAGTAATTCCACACTAAGCGTCTTGAAGGAGCATTCGCGATTAACATTCAAAACCTTAAAGTTTTCCCGCACATATACTGAAATTCCACCTTTCTTTCGCTTATCAGGTCCAACCCAATCTCTATCCCTTAGATATATAGTATACCCTCCAATAGCAACAGTGCTGTCATCTTTCTGTCTGCAAAGATGCGTCTCTGAAATATCGCCAACGTCGATATCCCACGATCGAAAATCTGCCGCCAGAGCTACAGATGGCCGTATTCTATTCTTGATCTTATCGAGACTACACATGTTAAGGAATGGGCTCTTAGGAACCGAAAATAATCCCGTAGAAGATGATCCTTTACCAACACTCGCTAACTTTTTCCAGGTAACACCGCCTTGACACCTCTTTAAAGAGCTGACAGTTTCAGGACGCTCAAAAACAGTATTGTTTTCACGAGCAGTGGCACTCTCTGTTGATGATGTTAGAGTTATAGAGTTAAGATTTTGCAGTTTTTGCCTATTGAATTTCCTAAAACGAATCAGCCTCCTAGCTCTAGGTCTTTCCTTTCTTAATGTTACAGTCCCTCAAATCCCGAATCATGGTGCACAAAAGAGCATTGCTTGAAGATCGTAAATGTAAGATAGATAGATAATCTTTATTTATCCACGGTACAAAATATTCATATATAATAAAAATATTTAAATAAAAAAGCTGCTTTCCACGAATGCCGTGCCTTACAGTTCTTTGAGTAATCGTTTAAATTGCCAAGGGACTCTGCTTCCCTTAAGTTGCAAGGAAGACTGTTCCAGAGAATGGCGCCACTATAGCTGAAGCTGTTTTTGTAATAGTTTGTGCGCGGTAATGGAACATTGAGTTTATTTTCAGTCCCTTAGGTTAATAATAATAATAATAAAAGTCTTTATTCATCAAGAGATAAAAATACATATCTTTTGTTACAAGTAAGTGTAAGAAATTTAAAAAGTTAAAAAGTAAGAAATAAAAAATATATACCGGTATATATATCTAGTATATTTCATAGCTAATTCATATTTAAAAACTAAACGATTAATAAAAGAGTTTTTAAAGCGCATAGTGTTAATCTTAGGTTTTAAAACTAGTTTCTTTTCTAAGATTGTAGCTGGAGGGTTTAACACGAGGCATAATAGATAAAAGTGGATGTCCTTTGGCATTAAAAACTTTTTTGAAAATTTTACGGTCTTGCCTCTCTAAGAAATCATAAACACTTACAGGCTTAGACGTATATTTCCTTTTAAAACAGCGGTCTAAGAAACATTGTACGGGTGTAAGATCGGACTCGGACGCGGCGTAGACAGATAATGCGTAATTAATATTAGGTAGAACTATAGTATTAAAGAGAAGGTCTATTTCTGACTGATTGTACCCTTCTTTGCGCAGCGTTCTAAGGATATGTAGGGATTTGTTAGCTTTAATAAGTTTGTTCTTCACGTGCACTGAAAATTTGCTGTCACATTGGAAGGTGACGCCCAAAATCTCAACTTCTTTACAGCTTGGTATCATCCCAATGGGTGAATAGAGATCGTGGTTGCCTCTCTTTTTGATCGTCAACTCTTTACATTTGCTTGGGTTGCAAGACATTCCATTTGTATTCGTCCAATCTAAAAACTGTGACACTAACTGATCGGAGTAGTCTACCTCCTTCCATACAGGAGCAATAATTGTCGAGTCATCAGCGTACTTAAATAGCGCGTCATGATTACCTAAAGTGATGTTAAGATCATTGAGGAAGATATTACAAAGGTAAGGACCGCTAACGCTACCTTGAGTTGTCCCTTGGTTGACCGGTTTCCAGTCACACTCAAAGTTGTTACAACATACCCTTTGTTTTCTATCCTTTAAAAAGTTCAAGTACCAATTGGTAATATATGGATTCAGTGGGAGCTTTTTTAATTTACTAGCAAGAAGTTCATGTTTCACAGAGTCAAAAGCTTTGCTGAAGTCCATAGCAAAAAGGCGAACTGCTTTACAATCCGGGTTATCCAGGTAGCTGTTGGTCCTATGTTGAATTGACAAGAGAGCATCGGTACAGTTTCCACCTTTTCTGTAGGCGAACTGTGAGGTGCTGAGGTGGCTTTCAATTGTCTCGCGGGCATAGCAGTGGAAGGAACTAAGATAGTTTGGAGCCAACCCGTGCAGAGACCTGTAAACCATCGTAGCTCTTTGAATTTGTTCCTGGCAAGCTAGGTTTTTCCATGTTGCTTCTTGGCCGGTGTTGGACGTCATATACGTCATATACGTCATAGCTTGAGTAGGTCAAAACACGGGCTGCTCTGTTTTGTAGCTTTTGAACCTTATTCCGTAAAGTTATCCCACAGTTTCCCCAAACAATGTTGCAATAATCAAAGTGTGGCTGTATTAAAGCTTGATATATTAGTTGTAAGGTCGCCTGAGGGACAAGGTGCCTTATTCGTTTTATGGCCCCAATACCATAAGCGACTTTCTTTGTTACTTTCTCGATATGGCCACTCCAATCAAGTCTGTCATCGATGGTCACTCCAAGTGATTTTCAGTAGTGACCTGGCTAACTTGAAAATCATTAATTGCAAATTTCGGGGACTCTGTGAGAGTACTTAGCCTCTGCCTAGAGCCGATGAGCATAAATTCGGTTTTAGTCATATTTAGAGTAAGTTTGTTTGCTCTCAGCCAATTGTGAACATTTTCTAAAATCTTGATTTAGATGCAACTGAATATTGTCCGCATTATCACCTGCGTATGTAAGGTGGGTGTCATCAGCGTACATCCTCGGCTCACAATTTGAAAGACAACTGTTCACGGGAAAATGTGATCATAATGGAGCGCGTCCTTCACTGCCAATATGCAAATTGGAGCCCGGCCCGTTGTTACAAATGGCAGAAAAGTTCAAATCTTGAGGAGATGTAGGACCGGGATTCTTAGGAATATCGCGGAAAACAGTAATGTCTAGAGGAGGGTCGTGTCCAGAAATAGCAAGGCTTGTGTAGACCCGCGTAGACGTCTTGCAAAAGGCTCTGTTCGTTAACCAGAATCTTGCTGTTAGCTTGACTTGAATTCCTTCCCGGCCTCGTAGAAATTCCAGTAAATCAACGCTACGACCTTGTTCACAGCCATTTGAAATGTCGGTACGGTTTTTGGTTCTCTTAAACGAAGAATAATTCTCCTTATGCAGCACATCTAAACTAATAATAAGCAAAAAATAAAGAACTCTATGCTTCGCCAATTCTGAAATTAAGCGTGCCAGCCATAACACAGGCTAGGCACGAGTTAGCTTAATTTACACATTGACACTGTGGTAGAGAAGAGAGCTGGGTGATATATTGAATAATAAATTTTACAAAGAAATAAATTCTAGCTGGGGGCTTTAAGGTGTTTCGAGACAGTTTTTCGGAGACCATACCGATGTTTTTGTGATGATTTCAGTGTTCTTGCCCGATCGCTACAAACGTTTTACCAGTGATTAACTATGAATTGAAGTTTGTCAAAATGCAGCTTTTAGTAAAATCGATGTCTCTATGGCAAAAATAAACAAAACACTTTGAAACAGATAAAATCCAAATATTGTGCGATCTAGATCTGCTACTGAAAATCCGATTCCAGGAACTTATAACTGTGGTGTTTAGCAAATAACCTCCGTGAGAAGTAAAAGAATTCTGTATGTTTGAATTCAAATATATTTCAGACCTTACATTTTCAATAGCCGTGATAAATTGTTTAATAAAATAGTTCTATTGTAAATAACTCAAATTAATATTAAGTAACATCAGATGGCTGTTTAACATAATATTTCGATGCCGGGAAATTTTGGTGTATTTTCTTCCTCGCGACCCTGAAAACTAACCTGTTTTCTCACCACCTTTCTAAGTGCAACTTTACTCTAATTTTGACTTTTGGCGCTTTTCTGAATATCTTCTGAATATTTTCCCAGGATCGTTTTCAGCTGACATTGCTACAGTTTCCTTCCATGTTGGACATATTTTTGATGACCCCGAGGATGTGTGTTGGGCATGGGGAAAATTGTTATCCGACGCCCTGGACGTGCATGTTCCAGTCAAGAGATCCATATCTAAACGTCAACATGTGCCATTCACGACACCACAACTACTTGGCCCCATTCGTCACCGTAACAAACTAAGAAAACTATACTTTAAGTCCAAGGATCCTGCGGACTGGGAGAAATACAGACTTCAGCGTAATCTTACTTCATCCTTAATACAAAGGGAAATTTTTAGCTATCTCCGGTCAAGAGCAGACAGTGCCAAAGGTGATCCAAAATTAAGCCCTTTACGCACTGCAAAAAAGTAACAATGAAGAGACCTATCAACTTAAGGAGAATGGCGCACTTGTGACTGACAAGAAGAAAGTGGCTGAGATCTTCAACAGCTATTTTTCTCTTAGCTCATATTCGAAAGGTGGGTGAAGGACATGACAGTGATCGTAATGTTGCTAAGCACATTAGTGTTCACCCAAGCATTGCTGCTATGAGAGACAAATGTGTGGTGGCTGCGTTTGAGGTTAATCACGTCTCAATGGCGGAAACGGAGTTAATTCTTAAGTCCTTAGATCCCAATAAAGCTACTGGTCATGATCAGATTCCTGATCGTGTCTTACGGGATGGAGCCTCAGTTTTGGCTGCTCCTATTGCGCGACTGATTAACACTGTTATTGATAATGCTTGTGTTCCTGTTGAATGGAAATCAGCGGAGATCTGTCCTATCTTCAAAGGAGATGATGAGTTTGACAAGTCCAAATACTGGCCTCCATCCATCCTAGTATTGTTGGACAAGATTTTTGAGAGATGTGTGCAAAAACGGCTTGTTCACTACTTCAACCCATATTTTTCTAAGTTCTTGTCAGCATATACAAAAGGTTACAGTTGCGAGTCTGTGTTGTTGCATCTTCTCGAGGAGTGGAAAGGAGCTCTTGACAAGAATTCTGTGGTTGGGACTGTGATAATGGACTTAAGTAAAGCTTTTGATTTGATACCACACGACTTATTACTTGCGAAGCTTTCTGCTTATGGTATTTCGACCCATAGGTTAAACTTACTCAAATAACTGGAAATTGATAAATAAATAACTGAAATTGATAAATTTAAAAGAAAAATTAGGAAAAGTGATTTAGCCGGTCACTTGACGAGAGACAAATATGAGTCGGAATGCACCTTATGTAGCTCTTAAATCTTTCTTGCTTTGTATATATGAATTATTATTATTATTATTATCATTATTATCATTATTGTTATTATTTATTTTTGCACACATACATCATTCTTTTTATTTCATAGTGTCCCCAATTAGTTTCATAGTTAAAGTACCTGACACTTAAATAAAGTTTGTTGTTATTATGATTATTACTACTATTATTATAAATTACTATTATTATTACCGAAGAGCTATTTAGCAAATCGTAGGCAACGGGTTCGAGTGGAGGACGTTACAAGCGATACCTCATATGTTAACAGCGGCGTACCCCATGGCTCCTTATTGTTTAATATCTTCATAAATGACTTATTGTATTTCATCAAAGAGGCGAAGTTGTCTAACTATGCTGATGATAATCAGATGTATTTTGCTGATACTGATACAGCTGTTGTTGTTCTCAATAAGGAACTTCAAAACGCATAACGTCAAAACAGTGAATGTTGTAACGCGGATTTTTGGCCTGTTAGTAGGCTAGATTTCTCTTGAAATTTCAAGGTGTTGCAGTGAATCAATCTTAATGAATGTTTCAGACATTGTTATATACATCATGAAGATTATGTGCCGAGCTTTAAAAAGAATTATGTCTAGCCGTTTTAGAGATAATAAACAAAAGCGCTAAACGTCAAGTTGCACTTAGACAAGTGGTGAGAAAACAGGGTAGTTTTCAAAATCGCAAGAAGGAAAATACACCAAAATTTCCCAGCATCGAAATTTGATATTAAGAAGCCTTTTGAAGCTACCTAAGATTAATGCACCTATCAATGTAAACTCCGTGGGGGGGCAAGGGGTGGGGATTTGACAAATTTTAAAATTTTTTGATCAAATTCCCCAGGGTGGGAAACGAAAGGTCAATCAAAAGTGTCAAAAAAGCACCCACCCAAGGGGAAAAAATCTAAACAAACAATACTACAATACTGTGTAAAACGAATTAAAAGAACATTTCAAAAGTACGTCCTTACTAAACGTAAGCTCCGTTAAATTACTCGCTTTAATTAAGTATCTTCTCTCTCCACTAGCATCTCTTATTTTGAACAACAAAACCACTCTAGGAAGATTGACCGTGCTATTATAATATTAATGAAACGTAAAATTAAAACAAATGAAAACTTCACTCCTTTCTCCAACAGCGTGACTTTCAGAAAGCCTCGAGGGACGGATTTGGGAACCGGTTCTGAATTGATACCAGGCTTCTGTCGGTCAAAGTCAAATGTCCCGATCCCGGGGTCGCTTCGCACGATCAAAAGCCCGACAGGGGGATAGGCATCAAATCCCCGCCCCTTGCCTGCACTCCCCCCCCCCCGCACGGGATTTACATTTATAGGTGCATAATGTGAGGAAATTAAGAACTTTTTTATTACACATTCTATAACGGCTATTAAAAAGGTTTGAAATATATTTTCATTTTATTTGAATTCAAAGATAAAGAATTTTTTGCTTCTCACTGAGGTTATTTGCTAAACACATATCAGTCATAGTGATATGTTCCTAATATGCTTTTTTGGTAACTCAAAAGCTACCAATTCCCTCTTTGGCAAAAGCTTACGTTCTGAAAAATCCTGGCACTAGGTAATAAAAAATACCCGAAATTTGTTTACAGCTGAGTTAAGCACTACTCCAGCCTCCTTGGCCTTTGTTTATATATAGTGCAATAAATACAGCCTTTCCAATTCGAACATGAGCAGAAGCATAAACTAAAATTCGACAGTGATTTTAAACGACTCTGCAACTGATTTTTATTTACATTTTTACAGGAACTTTATTTTTTAAAATTTTACAAACAACGAAAAAACAAACAAACAAAATTATTTACACTAGTAAACCTAACTACAGTTGCCCAGCAAATTAGCAAAAAAAGAAAAAACGCTGTTCGAGGCATGGAAAAGTAATCATATTGAAAGTAATGAAAATGAGTCAAGATAACAATACAGAAGCTGATCTGTAGAGTTACAGAGTTAAGATGAGATCATGATATTAGTGGCAGTCACGGGAAGTAAATGAAATATGTAAATATCATAACATTTTCATTTGCTTAATATCACAAAGTATTTGGGAAACGTCGACATAGTCATCTGTTTTCTGAAGAATCTCCGGGAGAATTTGTTAGATTTTCGATTTAAATTGAGATTTCCTCAGCGACTTAAGAGATTTACTATAGGTAGTCCGTTCCATATCAGAGCATCACATAATCTGATATTGGTTTGATGCAGGCCTGGTTCTATGTACATCGGCCGTTAGCCTGAACATGCTTCTCATGTTACTTGGAACAACTTGGTGATAAACGTCATGCATCAACAACGAAAGACGTTCAAAACACAAAAAGGTTAACGTAGGTTTAACAAAAAACATCAATCAAAGTGCTCTTTTCTGAAGAATCAGATTTTCTCCTCCTTGGCCTTTGTAAACAAACCGAGAAATATCGTTTGGAAATGTCTGCATGATACAGAATTGCTTTATTTTTTCGATTGTAATTCATGTTTAACATTCAAACTATCAACTGCATGCAGTACAACTCTGAACCGGTCGTACTAAATTCTATAATCAAACTCGGTCGCAATCACGCAATGAACTAAACACACACACGGAACATTTAGTTCAAAACACAATGATTTGCTTTAATTGAAAAGAAGCTATTTGGTCCTTAACGACGAAAAACACAAGGAAACAAGAAAAAAAAGCTAACAGAATCATTACACTTGACGGTAAAAATAGCAAGAAGGTCGAATCATAATATTGATCTCAGAAAACTTCGCGTAAACAAAATCACCGGCCGACGAAACCAAAAAGCAGCTCCAAATGAAAAACCTACCTACTCTCCGCAATGATTCTTCATTCGCAGTTCAATTTAGCATTTCAGTTTCGAAGACAAGGGCAATTTTGCTGTTTAAGATAAAGATTAAGTTTATCGAAATGTTTGAACTACACGACAGAATGCCAGGGATGCGATCCGCTGAATATCAAGCGACAATCCCGCTAAAATTGTTCATAATTATACATAATTATGCGAATGTTAAGACAATCAACCAATCAAAATCACTACCCGGTTTTCGGATAGTGAGTGACGTCACTGGACGGCATTAACGGCCGGTCGATTCAGACGTTGTTGAGAGGAGAAAACAACTCGAAGCAATCGGATGAATTTCAGGCTAAAGGGCGAGACGCTCGTGATAAAATTGCCTTCTTTGCATTCCATTCATTCTTAGTAAAAGTCCAAACGAATGCTGCCTACATACATGCAACGCATGCGTAATAACAACTTGGACATTAGGATTGTGTGCTCCTCTTGTCGCCCGCAATTATATATTAGCATGCTTAAAAGTATTAATTATCAATATCTTGCTATAAAATATTGCACCAAATATTTCACAAGTTTAATTGGACATGCCCTGTGATGTATTCAACATTTTTTCTTTTTGTAAAAAGAAAAACCCGATATTTTTTCTGGAGATACCTAAGCTGAATTTAACAAATACCACAGCCTAGCAAAATGCAGAATTTGCAGAAGAGTAGACCTTTTCACGGTTTTTTCAACTTTTGACGTGGACAAGTTAGGAAAAATCGCTGGACACCACTGGAGAGAACGCCTTAGTATTAGTAAAATTGCCAAATTTGAAAGTGATACGTCTTAAGCGAGCGAAGATATAGCTTAGCAAAGTTGCGAAAATTTACAAACGTTTGTATGGTTGGGACACAAGTTTATGCCCCCCACCATACAAGCGTCTGTAAAATTTCTTGACTTTGAGAAGCTCTATCTTCGTTACTTTTCAACAATTTCAAACAGAGCAATTTTACTAACCTTAAGGCGCTCTTTTCAGGGGTGTCGAAGAATTTTCCCCAACTTGTCCATGTCAAAAGTTGAAAAAAACCGTGAAAAGCTCTATACCAATGGAATTTCCCTTTTCTCTGTCGTAGCGTTATTCATCACCGTGCCCACACACCCAGCGAAAAAGGACTGCAACCCTTAAATTATAATTATGTGTTATCTATTCTCTTGAAACTCCCCATGGCCAGGCCACTTTGGCGACCACTGTTGGTTATCTCGGTGATGTCCATGGATTGGCTGTGTAGACGGGAAAGATCCACCTTCCGACACGGCTCGCAGTCAAATAATGCTTTGCAAGCCTTTCGATAATCTTGACTGAATATGATATAAATAAACGGGTTTATGGCGCAGTTCATGTAGGCGAGGAAGTTCCCCATAAAGCGAAGAGTTGGAGTTCGGAAGCAAGGCAGACTGTCGAACGTAGAAATCAGCATGAACAATCTGGAAGGAAGCCACAGCAATGCGAATGTTAGAACTGCTACGATGAGCATCTTAAACACGTTCTTTTTTGCTTTCATTTCGAGCTGTTGATTGGCTGTCGTCGTTTGCCCCGGGATTTTGCGCATCCATATCTTGTAGATTATAGCGCTGTAAAAGACGATTATTTCTAACAAAGGAAGGGCGTAAAACAATATGACATCTGCAGCGGAGTATACGGTATTGTAGATTATTGGAATATCTGGCTCCCAGAATTCAAGACAGTACCAACTGCCGCGGAACTCATAGATTCTATTCACATAGAGTAAGATGGTACCTGGAAGAGCTGGGACAAACCATGTTGCAGCGATTAACCAAATTGCTTTCCGAGAGTTGATTGCCCTTCTCAGAGGAAAAAATATGGCGATGAATCTATCTGCTGCGATCACAGCAAGGGTGAGAAGGGCTGCATTAAGCGAGCAGCCGTTCAGAAATACGTGAAGCTTGCAGATAATTGTACCAGCTAAGCCTGAAATAATGGTAAAATAATCATAAATTCGAAATTGCCCTCTAATTGAAAGCTTTCTGTTGACTATAAAATAGTTTAAAAACCATTAGATATGCCAAATAACTTTTTACAATAACAGAACGATTTTTCGAGGGGTGATCTATTTAACTGATATATTCCATGTTGCTGTGCGTGTCATGGAGACCTTACAATCCGACAACAGCAACGTCCATGAAAAGCTCACTGAAAAATAGCCTCCGCACCCTTTCAAACCATTTCGCGATTATCCCAATTCGCCCAATTACTTGAAAGAAGCTGAAGCTGGAGCTGAAGAGAGGGGGCCGCACCCGAGTTCAGACAGAGATGTTAGAATTTATCGCATTGCCTTTCCCGTCTTCGAACAAACTTAAAACTTAGTCATTTCACGTCGTAGTCGCACAAGGATAGCAAAGAAATGTACAAACAAGCGTGATGCACGTGCAGAGTTGTTGTCTTGCTAACTAAACCGATTGCTTTTTGACGTTGCCGTCACCGTCGCCGTAATCGATCACAGATGACGTAAAACGTGATAAAACAACGAAGTGGCACACGAGCTTCAGGTGAGTGTGTCACTCAGTCTGATGTTTTTACCACATTTTGACGTTTTCCGTGATCTATTACTGAACAGACCCACAGCAACATGAAATCTATTTGTTTCTCACAGTGAGAAGAAAAAACTACATTAACTTGCCTCTTACCGCTTGACTAGCTGTTCGAGGATTTCAGTTTAGATCAGTTTAGGCATTTTTTAAGCTACAAGCGTTACTTTTCATGTCTGCTTCGTTAGTTTCCTCTTTATCTTACTTGTATAGAGTTTCTCCGAAAAGTTATTCAACGTCCTCACTTGCTCAAAGCAAAAAATTCACGAAAAACATTTTCCACAAACTGCGAGTCTCTCGTAGCGATGACATACGATGGCAACTGCTGTGAAGATTTCCTCCTGTTTATGAGTTTTGTCACAATTTTGTCAACGAGGAACGAATATATTTGTTAACCGTTCAGTTAAGTCCAAAGAGTGACAAACATCTACTTTCTTTTACCACTATCAATATATCATCAAGAGAAAAGGTTGTGAAAATAAATGACGCCCAAAGGAGAAATACTGTGCTCTGTTATCAAATTATTACTATCAGCTAATTCTTTAAAGTAATGTACGGAGACTAGTGTGGAGAATTTGTATCTGCATATTAAGGTTTAAGGATTAAATAGACCATGGGAAATTGCTGTCTATTTTGTAAGTACCTACCACTGATCCCATAACCGTTATGAGAGGAAATTCTTCCTACGACGTATGGTACAACGTTCATTAGCATGATCATTAGGTTGGCCAAACAAAGGTTGACAATAAAGTAATTGGTGGGGCTGCGCATGCGTCGATTTTTCTTTACAATGCTAATGATGACTGTATTTCCAAAGCTGGAGAAAAGAATAATCAGCAGGTAAGAAGTCACCTGCAGCCATATTTCCGTGTCGTTGAAGAGACGGAAGTTACATCCGGACCCGGTTCGAACTGCTGCAGAAGGCGTGAATGAAGTGTTGTTCGCCATTGGGTCGTGCCTGTCTGAAACTCGTTATGGCTGCACAATTAGAGAGATTGATCTTTGTTTGGCTGACAGTTAAATCTGAAGAAAAAAAAAACAAAGAAGTTATCCTTTCTTTAATTTGGGGGTAATGTCTACACGTAGACTAAGTGTTGATGTTGGCATCGCAGTCCAAATGTACTTATACTCTAGAAGACTTTCGTTGTTTATCGATTGTTTACCATGTCAAAACGTTTCCGTAAAACCCGGTTGAAAAGTAAATGGAACACGACTTCTTGGGTCGTTGCAGCGGAAAATTTCCGGGAGCAACGAAACAACTGAAAAGGTAGCCTGTTTTTCCGGATGGAATATTCCAAACAGAAATTCGTGTTCCATTGCTTTAAAGCCTTCTTTAGTACCAGTTTCAGGCCTTCGTGGTCGTTTCTCAGTAAATGGAACGGATTTGTACAAATGGTAAACGCGATCCCCGCACGAAACTTAGCTGTCCTGAATTTTGCATACCACTTACCTAAACCGTCGACCGACCGGTTTGCCACTGTAAATGGTAAACAACCTTTGATTCACCCGATAACTGACATCTATAGATAATTGGGAAGACCTTATAAGCATCACCTACTTGCGGCAAATACAAATACCCCTTCTTTAAAGAGATGTTAGCATTGAAAATAGGGAAAAGAAGCAGTTCTATCGAGTTTGCCAAAAATCTTGCGCAGATTAGTATATGAGTTTCCCGTGGCTTAGTTAGGCCTAGCAGATAAAACCTTTCGAACAGCCAACTTTGTCACTTAATGAGGATAAACACAGTTATGCTCAATTTTACAACGGGTAAATTTCATGTAGCTATCATTGACACTTAACTTGATAATATGCATACTGGAAGCACCCTTTAGAATAATCTTAATGTGCGCGATGGAAGCTGTAACTTTTAAAACTAATAATTCTGCGAGAGACGAACTTTAAAAGAGACACTTCCCAGAGGAGGTGTAGCAGAAAGAAAGAATTCTTAGGACACTTTTTATGTGCAATTTTTTAAAGGATTTCAACGAGTTTTGTATCAAGCTGTTATGGTCGATCTCACATCTTTAGAACGATATTTTCTGGAATTATAAAGGATGTAGTAAGGACATTACATGAATTTTTGTCGCACGGAACATACTTTTTCCAGATTTTCTAAAAGTTTCTTACACTTTCATCCTGCCTGACAGTAAATGTTTTGACTTTTAGGTTTGACCTTCAACAATATAACTGGCAACTCTGGTGAGACTGCTGGTTCATTATCAGTATAATTAATGGTTTGTAAAGTCATTAGGAATCTTTTAAATGTATCTTGAATTAAATGTCTATGATGACAAATCGGTCCTATTGACGGAACTTTCACTTTGATCGTCAAGCTCTGTTCGTGGCCGATAGAGGAAAAGAGAAGTTTGATTCACAACACTCCTTCAATCTTTTTATAGATTGTTTCTTTGTTGTTCGTTAAGTATTAACGAACAACTGAAGCAATTGTCCACTAACAATTCCCAAACAAATGCAAAGATGCCATCTCTTTAGTAAGAAAACTCACCATGTACGCTGACGACCATCAGCTGTATGCAGCTGTCGAGACTCATAGGGCTTGTAGAATCGAGGCTCAAAACACAGGGCCACTTATCGTCGTCTTGGTCAGTATGAAAACAACTTTGTACTTGCTAATCCGGAGACGTTCCAGTCCTTAACCGTCAATCCCAGGAATATCGATGCAGAGAATGACGATAGAACTTTGAACATTGATAATCATGACATCAGGAAAACAGAGCAACTGAAATTACTAGGAGTCTGCATTGAACAGAATCTCAACTTTGCGGATCAGCGAGTTATGTACGAGAGCTTGTCAAAAAGTAGGAACACTTGTACGTCTGCGAAACTTATACCTTGTAACGCGAAGTTAATCTTATACAAGACGTTCATCATGCCATACTTAACTTACTGTCATTTAGTATGGAAATTCTGCAAATCATCTAATAGCAGAAAGATCAAGCGCATTCAAGTGCGTGCGCTCTGTGCAGTATCGATATAAATCTCAAACTGAAAGGTACGAGGAACTCCTCACCCGCGCTAAGCTGCCTATTCTTTATAACAGGCGTTTGCAAGACATTGCAATACTAATGTATAAAGTAAAATACGGGATGGCGCCAAGATGTGTATCAAGTGTTATTCACGATCAAAAGTACACACCTTCTTAGAAACTGCGATTTTGAACTGGCCACTTTGATACAGTGGCCTACATATGGGAGGCATTCGCTGCGCTACAAAGGACCTTTCATTTGGTCAAAGGTCAGTAGTGTGCAGGAACTTGACAAGCCTCAAAGCATTCAAGAAACATTACGCGGTGTGACCATTCGAGCCATGTAGTTAATAATAGCAACTGCTGTGACCTGTGTAAATTTTGAGTCGTGTACATTTGTATATGGTTTTAGGTTTTAAGTAAGATCATTAATTTAAAAGTCATGTAATAGATTAGTGTGCCAGTACTTAGGAAAGTGTCCCCAATTAGCTAACTGTTGAGCTAAATGCATTGAAACTAAAATAAATTTATTATTATTATTATTATAACTCTGAGTAATGAAAATTTGTTTCAGTGAAAGTCGGCAGAATTTCTTTTAATGAATGTATGCAAATCCTTTGCACTTCATGTTATTGCATCCGCGACCAATTAAAAATTAGCTACTTATTTCAAAACTCAAATTCAACCTTCAAAATATCCAGTAGAACGCACTGACACCTAACGCAGACATTTTCCTCGTAACAAGCAGGTTTTAGTCAGTTGACACCGTCAACGCCGGTGAGTGGGTCAATATTCACCAGCTATACAATTCACTCCCAGAATTAAGAAGATATAGACCACATGAGAAGGACGACACTCAATTCGTTACAATAGTAGATCTGTTTATCTTCCGAAATGTCAGTGTTATCGGATTCCAAATTCGAATTTGTTACTTCTCGAATCTGTGGCCATCTACAATTAATCTACAGATTGAAATGTTGCAACAAAAAGATGTAATTTGAGCTAATTTGCCGAGATATCTGTAGTTTAATGCGGGCCTAGGTTATTGTGAACGTTCAGTGTTTTAGATGACTCTACGCAATTACTAAAAGCAAAGTTTACTTTTTCCTTAATTAGACTAGCTTTAACAGCAAAAACGGAAACCGTGACGACCGAACGTGACGTTCTTACGTCAATATGTTCTTTCGTCACGGACAACAAAGAAAAGCTCGATCAGGATTACTAAGGATGTCTCTTATCTAAAATACTAAGATGTTTTTTCATTTAATGAGGTACACTTTTAAAATGCTGTGGTTTTCATTGTCAGACAAAATAGTAATTGATTTAATTCTTTTTTTCGGAATTGAAAGCTACCTAAAAGTGTCAACTAAATCATTATTTTTATGAATTTATAATTAATGGTAAAAAAGGTGAAAAAAAAATGTCTTAAGAGTGTCCAAAAAGAAAGAAAAGACGAAAGTAAAACACATAAAACATGGAAAATTGAAATAGATATCAAATTAATTATTATAATTAGAGCTGCCTTTTTAACCGTCAACATATTTAACAAGATTAGCCTCCATTTGCACGAAGTCATCTAAGCCATACAAAGGTATAGGCTAATTTTGCAAAAAAAATGGTGAGGCTATCTCAGTGATGAGTTTTACTCCAGTTTTCGTGCGTGAGGTCTAAAATATGTTATAACTTAACACTTTGCTTCTTTGGATAATATTACTTACTTGCATACAAAAAAGCGAGCTTGTCTTCATTTATGTATTTTATAACTATGCGAACCCGTCTGTCACAAAATTCTGCTAAAAAGAGAAGAATAAACGAGGTTGTATCCTTAAAGATGCAGTTTAAAAAAAGCTGTGGTTACTCTTAGTTCTTAGTCTTGCCCACTGTAAAGGTTTCAAGTTAAAGAATTCAGGAGGCAACTTTTTATTATCGTTAAATGACAAGATCTGCCAAATTAAAGTTTGCCATTATAATGTGACGATCAAATGCAATCCAAAAGTGTACTTACAGAATAGAAGAACCAACCACGTTGAAGCATGTTCTTTGCTTATGCTAACTGATTCAAAAGATCGGTTGTTTTAGGTTCTATTTCGAAGAAAGTGGAAAATACAAGGGAAAACCCTTAAAACAAGAACTAACAGCAAATTGAACCGTAAAGATCATCTAAAAGGTTAGTCACATTCGTTAAAGGAAAACTGCTGAAAAACTGAAAACACATGCTAAGGTACTTTCGTAATATTTTATTAAGATTATACTTTTCAATATTAACTGCCGCGTAAGCTTTAATACGAAGTGGTGGGAATGCTAAATAGTTCCAATTCTTGCCTGAGTAAGTTTAGAAGTCACCGGGTGTGATTATAGTTCTTTTTCAGTTTACTGAAGGTTTTTTTAAATCTTTTTTGCCCCCATGTTAAATAGTACCATTTTTGAGCATCCTGACTCGTGGTGTGACAGTTTTATTACAGTTTGAAACCTTATGCAAATCTGTCTTCACCACACAAGTTCCAGGCTAACACTGTCCATTAAGGTAGCAGTCATATGCAAAAATCAACCTTTCTTAATAGACACTGAAGGTGTCTCAGTGAACTTAGATTGATGACAGGAGCCAAAAGGTAAATGCAATGTGTTTATACAGATACAGTCACGTTTTCAAACTATGTGGTCAACTTTAAAAACACGACTAGTATCGTTTATAACAAATTGTACCAATAAATTAAAAGCTTCCATTTTTACACACACCCAATAAAATTTTGTTGGAGTTATACCGAACTCTTGCTGTGATTTTTCCTATAGGATAATACTTCTAATTGAAATTTAAAAAGCGCTGTCATTCTAAATGTAGGCTACAATTAACTACCTGTGTATATTGTATTACTGCATTTGCCCATGCTGTCCTTTATCTTCATTGTAAATTGACTTTCTTTCAAATTGTCGTTTTCCATTTTTGCATCGGTCAAACATTTTC